GACCACTGCAGGACCAAGGATCAGGTGAGCTTTTCTTCTGTAGTCCAGGCCCTAAAGAAAAATTTGCAGTTAACCCTGCACTGTGAAGGTAACCCCTCTGCAAGGATTCACTTTGTTACCTGCGGTTCTTCTTTAAATTTGTATTCACTAAATGGTACATGATTTTGTGTTGGAGAAATATATATTCTGTAAACAGTTTGCATACAATTTACATATTTGTGTCCATACAAATGACATGTGTTTTCCTTGTTCTGTATTAAAGTGGACATTTACCCCCTTTGACTAAAAATCACATCAGCATACAGCTCTGCATGATGACATGAAATCATATTATATGCATTAGCTAAGCAAACATATTTTTATTTTACTTACAAAGTTCTTTTTTCCACTTGCTGGTCCACTTTGGCACAAATTATGTAATCTGTGCCAAAGCTTTGCATCCTGGGAAGGTTACATCAGCAGAGCAGTGCTAGGAAATCTCATCTGTAATCTCACCAGATCTCAGGGAAAGGCATTTTCCTCCTGTGAGATTTTGTGCCCGGTCACATGTCCTAGTCACATGTCAGAGTTGCAGGAAGAAAAGGGAGATGAATTCTTCTGCCCTTAGTAAATACTGTGAAACAGTAAATACTGTTCGGCTCACTTCACTTCAGGTCGGTCATTCACTCGGCTGCCTATGGCAGCTTAGTGGATAGACCCCTATATCATAGCATGGCATACCACATTCCAACTAATATTATTTTCCGTTCAGGTTCCCCAAGCTCGGTGTAATGAGCCATGTCCTCCAGGATACAGGAAAGGTTCAACTGGCGGAATCTATGCCTGCTGCTATCGCTGTGTGCAGTGCTCTGATGGTAAAATCTCCAATGTAACAGGTAATAAATACCAAAAAAGTAATTATTAAAGAATGGTTACCATATACTGTATGTGTTATGGTATTGGTGTCCTAAAGTCAGTAATATGCTGTTTCCTTCAACAGACAGTGAAAGCTGCCAAAATTGTCCTGATGACCAGTGGCCAGATGAGAGAAAAGTGAAATGTATTCCCAAAATATATGAATATCTGTCTTATGGGATAGATATCATGGCTCAAGCTTTTTACATGATCACGATATTATGTTCTGCTGTAACTATCTATATACTGACATTGTTTATTTTACTACGGGACACTCCAATTGTAAAAGCCAATAACCGGACTGTGAGCTTCATTCTTCTTATCTCCATTCTGCTGAGCTTCCTCTGTGTCTTCTTGTTCCTCAGTCGTCCTGTGGATATAACCTGTCAATTGAGACAAATATCATTTGGGTTTTTCTTCTCTATTGCTGTCTCTTGTGTTCTGGCCAAGACTATTACAGTCTGCATTGCTTTCAAAGCCTCCAAACCTGGAAGCTGCTGGAAGAAGTGGGTGGGCGAGAAGATTTCTAATTCTGTTGTCATAATCTGCTCCTCTGTCCAAGTTCTGATCTGTGTTATTTGGTTGTCAGTGTCTCCTCCCTACCAAGAGAATGACATGCATTCTTTTCCTGGGAAGATCATCATTCAGTGTAATGAAGGGTCAGTTATCGGGTTCTACTCTGTGTTGGGGTATATGGGGATTCTGGCATCAGTGAGCTTTGTTCTGGCTTTCATGGTGAGGACATTACCGGACAGTTTCAATGAGGCCAAGTACATCACCTTCAGCATGCTGGTGTTCTGCAGTGTCTGGATTGCCATGATTCCGGCCTATCTGAGCACCAGAGGGAAATACACAGTGGCTGTGGAGATTTTTGCTATACTAGCTTCCAGTACTGGATTACTGGGCTGCATATTTTTTCCTAAATGTTACATTATTATTATAAAACCTGAAAAAAATTCCAGAAAACATATTTTTGATAAATCCAAATCATAATGTATTTTATAAACTTTGATTTTAACTGTATATAGAGTGTTTAGTACAGAGGTAACAAACACAATCTCATTAGTGGTTAAATAAAAGATTTTAAAGAAAGAGGGACAAGCTCCATGCATAACATATCATTATATATGTACATGTAAATATTTTGCTTTAGTATTGTGCAATAGTGAACATCAAATTAAATCAATACAAATATGTTAAAAGTTGTGGAACCTTAATGAATAGAGGGAAGTGAAGGAAGGGGAACAAGTTAAGGAAGAAAAAGTAACTCAAGGCAGTAGGTCTGGCATTTAAAGCTACCATCTCAATAGGAGTGGAAGCCTTATACGGTACATCTGAGAACAGAGACATGTGCCTTGGTCTTGCAGGTATTAATACCTATAGGCATAGTAAGCTAAGTTAGTTGATGTGCATGTTAGTAAAAATTCAAGAACAATATTTTAAATTCCGACGAGGGGAATTATATGGGACTATTCTCTCATGGACATGAGAAAAGTAACAAGTAACACAATTCTTTAGGCAAGTAATCTCATCCTAATTTACATCTACCACATTGGATCTTTTACAAAGATAAGACACTGCCTGTTCAAAAGCTTCCTTCCAATGTTTGTGATTCAACAGAATACACTCCATTGGGCTGAGGCTTTCATGATAAACACACCAAGCATGCCAATACTGAATAGCAGTAGAATATAACTTCATGGAGTTCTCATGCACAATACACATTCCCCTGGAGTCAGAAATATATTTTCTGACAATAAAATTGTCATCCGTCCATGCAGTCATTTTCTCTAGCAATTCACTATGGGCAATAGATGACTAATGCTGACTGTTCCTGTGTTTCTATGTAATTTTAGTGTTCCATAAAAAATAGGAAGAGTTGAGCGGGCAAATTGCAACAACAACAAGGTATCTGGGAGAAAACACATTTTTTCAACCATGTTTTACTAAAATAGGACACTAACTGTTCAAAAGCTTCCCTCTGAGGTTTGAGATTCAACAGAATAAACTCCACTAGTCTGAGGCTTTCATTGTGAACATGCAAATCATTCAAATACTGAATGTACTGAATACGTAAAATACACAGTAACTCCATTGAAACACTCATAAACAAAGTTCTTGTGCATAACCCTTCTTCTTTTAGAGGCAGAATAATTTTTTTACAGCTAAAGGTATGAAATTGTCATCTTTCCTAGCAGTCATTCTTTCTATCAATTCACAAAGGGCAACGAAGGACTCTACAGGACTCTTTGTCAACAATTTTAAAGAAGTCCAGGTAAAAATGTTATTAACCCTTCCAGTGGGGCTACTAACCACTGCAAGGGTTAACTGCTCACTTTGGTCTAGATTTAAAAAAGTTATACTTACCCAATGGTCTGAGCCGGCTTGTTTTTAGACCACTCCTAAGAGCCTCTCTCCCCCTCATTTGTAGTGGTCTAAGGTCCTGTAAATCATCACGTCTATACACAGCATATGGAAGGGAGGACGCTGAGGAAGATTCCAATGCTGTAATTTAGGAGTGCTGTGACAGCTGGCTTGTTTGGAGTTTCAAATGCGTATAACTTTGTTATTTTAGCACCTAGTCAAAAGTGGACACTTAACCATCGTAGTACAGGGTAGTTCTTCCTTAAAATCACTTATAACTTTGAAGGTTTGAGATGCTAAAATTTTATAAGTGTCACTTTTAATTTGTAAAAAATCAACAAGCTTGGTTTACTTGAAACCTTACAGCTGCTACCCTGGCTTTTGGAAAAAAACATACTGAACAAGAACAGGAAATTATTTCAGATGATGATGGTTGGATGCAACTATTAGAAGAGTCAAATGTGGAGTTGTAGCAATGCCTGCCTGCAGATCCTCTATTTGCCATATGTATGGCTTCACATTTTGTTCTTGAACAACTCATTTTCTTTTCAAAAAATGTCTTAATTAAAGTGGACAAACAATTCTTGAACTTGGAACTATGGTCATGCTTAACAGTATGAAATACAAAAGTACCTTCCTGCAGGGTTAACGTTGAATCATTTTTGTTTGGTTTATACTTTCTGAAAAATGAATCCACTTTATGACTGGTAGTTTGCGCATGCATTGCAGTCTTGTGTCTCTTGAATGCTATGTGTTCTATCACAGATGTCCCACCACCACTGGCAACTGTGAATGATACCTGACACATATTACAAGAATTGGTTTGACTTTTGCCTCGACTGATGAAGGAAAAGTTATTGAGAATAGATTCATTTAAACACATTTCTGTTTCTTTGTTAGAAGTGACATAACAAATGCAATAAAAACAAAGCTGCTATAATGGAAATGTCCGGTAAACTTAGCTTGATTTCATTGCTCTAGAGGAGACAGGCAAAAAGTTGAAACAGGAACAGGCCAGTCAGTGTGCAGAGAGAAAATAAAGCACAGAACTTGTTTCAAAGTAGCCACAAGTCAGACTGAATCATTTCTATGAAGATAAAAAAACACAAATAGAGGTTGCAGAAACCATATCAAATATAAAGCATGCTCATAAACCTGCTGTGGGGTCCATAGCAGATCAGGGACCATCTTGGTAGGCAGGAAGTTCACAAAAGTCTGGTAGCAGAGTTAGCGCAGGAAGCGTGCAGGGAACCTGAAGAAAATAATGCATTCCTGTGGAGAAGAGGGGTTGATAATAGGCAAGCCAGTTCAAGAAAAGTGCACTTACAAGGAAGGAGCACACACTTACCTGCTGTGGGGTCCGTAGCAGATCAGGGACCGTCTTGGTTGGCCAAAGGTTCACAACAGTCTGGCAGCAGAGTTAGTGCATGGAACGTGCAGGGAAGCTGAGGCAAACAATGTTTCCCTTTGGAGAAGAAGGGTTGAGAGTGTATTTTAACCTTAATATATCAGGAATAGGTAGATAAGTAGGAATGTAGGTAGGTAGACATCAGTGATTTGGTTGTGCGGCCTTCACCATGATATATCAGGGATAGGTAAGAAGGCTTCTGTTCTGTAGCTATGCATCATTCACCCTGATATATCAGGGATATGTAAATAGGTACAATAGGAAGGTAGGCGTCTGTTCTGTAGCCGTGTGCCCTTTACCCTGATGTATCAGAAGTGGGTAGCAGGCAGGTAGGTAAGTCGGTAGGTAGGCACACAGGTTGGTTAGTAGTCTGTTAGGTAGGTCAGCAGACTTATAGGTAGGTAGGTAAGACAGTAGATGGGTTGGTCAGTATGTAGGTTGGTCGGTGGGTAGGCTGGTAGGTAGGCATGCAGCTTGCTGAAGCACCTCTACACTCACCTCTCCTTAGACAAAATGTCAGCGTAATATGCTAGGTAGTTAGGTAGATCGGTATTCAGGTAGGTTTGGCAGGTCAGTAGAAGGGTAAGCGGTAGGCTGGTAGGTAGCTGTAGCATTGTTGCTGTGCATCCTCCACACTTAATCAATTCAAAATGTTAGTGTCTCCTTCATGGCACATCGGTTATATATATATAGCCACAGTTAGCCGCTGCAACCAACTGGAGGATTGTTCTGTGCAGGTGCAGAATAAAAAAGAAATAAGTGGAAGCACCAATTTCAAAGTTAAAATTCAAATGGGGGCAAATCCAGGAACACAGAAGTCAGGGGGACAGGGCCTCAAAACGGGGACTGTCCCTGCCAAATAGGGGTGAATGGCAACCTTAATCTAACACTACCCACTCCACAGTGTGACAATGCTTCTGTCTAAGGGTGGCTACACTGCTCCTCCATAGATACAGTGGAGGAGTGAGTGTTGTCACTCTAAGACAGGAAGTGTGTCACTGGTCAGATCCCAAGGTGAAAATAAAGGATAAAAAGTCTAAGGATTCGTAAGCGGCAATATATTACATGTTTGCTTTTGAGATGAACTTTAAAATTGCAATGGGTTATCATCTAAAAATCCCATTGTGTGTTCCTAAAGTGTCTATGTAATAAGAGCCGCACTGTCTTCCCCCACCCTCACCATCCCCCGCAACACATGGAATGGCAGCCTGGACCAGTGTGGCAAGTTTTATTTATGCAGGAGGTGAGTTAGTTGTATTAAAAAGACAGTTTTTAGAGTGTGCAATCTAGTGACATCTCAAGGAGTCCCCAGTGTCTCCTTTGACACCAACACTTCTGTGCTCTCTAGTGACCTTAGTGTATCCATGCCTCTTGAGACTCCTGTGCCTCCAGCAACCCTGTGATTTCTGTGCCTCTAGTGACCTCTGTGATCCCTGTGTGTCCCTGTGCATTCCATGACTCTTAGGGCACCCGTAAGCATCATTTGTCACCCTGTGGCTCCGGTCATCTCAGTGACACCTGTGTCTCCGTGAAGCCTCAGGTACACTCCTGTATCTTCTTGACTGTCTCACTTTCTGCAGATACAGACCCTTGTCAGTGGGTTATAGTTAATGGCATAAGCTGGAAATTTTAAAAGTGAATGACCCTGAAATGAGGGATATGCAAGAGGCCAGTCTAAAAGAGGCAAATTTAAGGTCTAACGAGAGAGCACACAGACTTACTGTTTCAAATAAAAAGGTTTATTAGTGATCCATGGAATAATGGCATGTGGCATGAGACCTATTCATTTACATCAGGTTCAGACAGTGGTGGAGTGTGTGACATAGGCCAGTGATTTCAATGCTTTTGAATTAGGCTAGTTCACACCATTGTGTTCAGTTCCAGAGCTTTCAAAAAAGTACAGCAGGACACTTTCTTTCACAGCGGAATGCATCTGAATTCATGCAAATGCATACAAACACAGGCACAAGTAAAAAAAAGATTTAAAGAACACATTAAACGTATAGAATGTGCAGATTATGGCATGGAAAATCCCTTAGCAAACTGAAGGCTCTCTTTACTACTGCACCAATATTGGTTCATCTAGATCCTAAACCCACTTTTATTGTGAAAGTGGATGTTTCAGATTCTGCTGTGGGAGCTATTCTTTATCAGCGAATATGAGACAAGATGCAGCCTCATCCCTGTGCTTACTGCTTTTGTTTAATGTCTTTTATGACAT